CTAAATATATACATCACCAACAAAACGAAAATCTTTCAAAAGATACGGGGAACTGGTCTTAAGCCATTTGAAAATCTTCATTTGTGCACTTCTTTTGCTTTCAAGAGAAAGCACAGTGACAATAAGAACATAAATACACACTTTGGGCTTGAATTCATAAGTGATAAAATCTCCACTCTTCCAGTCCCACTTCATAGAATGTTTTCCTTCTTTATATCGAGTTGTTGACACCTCCAAGGTTGATGATCCCGAGGTGGTGAAACACAGGTGAGGGCCAGTTTCAAATGTATGAACTGCAATCGAGAGCAAAAGGACGGAAATTTTACACTTACGAAGATGATCATTTGGGTGAACCGCCGAATGCACCCATATACGTTAACACAAATTCATTTTCGATTTCATCCATCTGTTTGTTTTATACAGTCAAACCTCGATTGTCCGTAACTCGATTATCCACGGACTTGCTTCTCTAGTCCCATTATCTAGGAACTTTTGTATTGACATTTTCGATTATCCGGACTCCTGATTATCCGAACCAGTTCCATCGAGTCCGGATAATCGAGGTTCGACCGTTCACGTGTACATGTATTCTTCGAACAATTTTAATTCAGCGAATTTGGCGCTGAATTAAATGAAAATCCCTTAGTTGTTATTTTGCTTTATTCTTATCACTTTTTTGCCCAATGATGTTGATATTTTGAGGAGAAGCTACTTCTTGGTCGCTCTTAGGAGTGAAAATTTTCATACATTTTAAATTAGAACGTTTTTAAAACTTAGTAAAAAAATATATAACCTGGTCTAGGCACAACAGTCGATTTACACTTTTTGCGGCTGAAAATGGTTTCCGAGAACAGCAAAATGAGGATCACACTGTACCACAAACGCATCATAATTCTAGCCGTTGGAGAAAATAAAAACTTATCAAGAAATGCATATAGATCAAAAGTATTCTTCAAAACTGTTTTGTGTACTTTTCTGATAAATTAGATTCAAAGCACGATGTTAACATACCTTCCTATGGACGACCCCTCGTGCTTGTGTTTCAATGCAAACGTTCACTGAACAGTGAAGTCAATCAAAAATCGCAGCCTTTTTATAGCTCCACGTTCTGATTGGTCAGAATTTCTCTATCTTCATTTCGTGTTCATTGCCTAACTCTTGGTCATGTGAATGTAGTTAAACATTGCTGCGTTCAAACATGGAATGGCATGTGTCTGTTCAAGCAATAAGGAGTAACCAGACGGACTGTGACAGATGTTATAGCTGGATATCAAACATTTAAGGGACTCTGACAAGCCAGGTTAGGAAGTTACTTAAACATTTGGTAAAGTATATTTACAAGCTTTTTTCACGAGTCTTGATTTCCTCGATCATTTTCAACTCATAATCGGCCACAATCTTCTCGTATTAAAGCCTGCAATGGTATTCCTCCCAGGTCACACACAAGTGACCTTTAAATGATGTCCTAAACACAACGTTTTATCCCACCTAGATTATCGAGACGTCTGCGAAGTGTAGTGTAAGACAAACGCTTTAAACATAAAAATTTTTGACGCATCGTTACAGATGACAAAGTGATGGGCTTGTCAAATGCCCAATAGAAAATTCCCCTTACATTTGAAATCGGCTCCAGACCTGGGTCGGGTTGTTCAAAAGACGCTTGACCATAACCCAGGATTGAAAGTTTAATTTATCCTTGTTTTCTCTTGAAATAAAGCTTATTTTAGGGCTTACGTTTTGAGAGATTTGCCTTAACATAAAACGAATCTGAAGGAAAAAATATATACACTGAGAACTGCCAACAAGGCTACAAAACTAAGTTAAAAAATTGCTGGCTAACCCTCGGTTAACTTAATTGTGCTGTGAACAATCGGCCACTGAAAACCAACTTATTTCTTATCCCAAAGAATATCCTTAAATTCTAAAGGCTTTTGTCGTTCATGTGTATCAACCACAAGCAAGAAAAAAATCTACACCTGCCAAATAGTTCCTTGCACTTGCATGACTTTGTCAGTCAAGTTGTGTAGACTGGTAGTCGTGATGTTTAAATTAGCTTTAATGTAAATTCTAGCTCAATAAAACTGTTACTTTCACTTCTCCCTTTACAGTTTAACATTAGTATGCATATTCGCCACCCTGTTTTCCTCAGTGACATTTCCTATGGCATAGGTGATCATTTCCTTTTGGTGGTCTCTACATTTGATTCAAGCGTGATAACCTATGGAGGAATTATTGGCCGGTCAAGCAATATGATTGGGAGGCCTTTCCAGATGCGAATGTAACCAAGAATCCCTCAATCTCAGGCGAAAACTGCGGCGTGGGGGACAAATTGCGAGGGTCGACAGATGAACGTGTAGTGTCTCTTTAAGCCAAAAAAGAGGAGCGAATGGGATAAAACTAACCAAAAACTAAAACGATAATGAATATGAAGACAAACCCCCTATGCATGGTTAGCCAATGTACGAGAATCTTTTAACCTGACTCGAAAGGGAATCGAGTGAGTCTTGTTTTATTTGAGAGAAAACTACTGTGAAACGATCGTAACCAGAAAAAAAAAAAATGAACGTCACCTGGTCTTCACCCCGGGATTGTCTGCCAGCAGAAAAACCCTCGAGAAATCGCATTTCCGAACCCTATAAACTTTACTTGTATTCTTCCAACATCCCGCGTGGTTTGAACACGTTAATAGAGCCCGAAAAAATGCGTTCTATTGCTTTTTTGACAGTATTACTTAGTCACCGATCAGACGCGGGGTCTATAACCTGGTAAGTCATCCGCTTGAAGAGCGAATTCACCCATCAAACGATACGTGCTATGTTCATTTATGTTATAAAACAATTATTTAAGGGAATGCCCTCGGATTTGTCTAAGGGCTCACGCCTTCGGCGCTCGTTACAGTAAAAAAAAACCCGCATACAAGAACACCCATTTTCGGGGTTCAGGCTGATTGGGTTCTTATATATCGGGTATTTTAGGTGAAATCAGCCTGAAAGTGTTTTCAAGTGTTCTTAATTTTTCACTTCTAAAAAAATGTAAGGGATTTACTAACTATGATGAAATACATAACTTATCAATTGTAATTATAAGACTTTTAATTCCAAATACAATTGTTGTACATTTGCTATACACAGCAAGTGAAATTACTAGCATTCATATAGAGATCTTAGTGCAATACCACAGTAAAGCTACAGACACTGTTTGTTCTATTAAACTGAAAAGGGAAGAGTTTTTATATATAAGAACAATTTTCAATTTTCAGGCTAAATGTGTTCTTTTATATATGTTCCTTTTTTACCAAATTTCAGCCTGGGTGTTCTTAATCCACATGTTCTTGTATGCGGGTGTTTACTGTATACGTTGTCCTCTGAAAATTCAGTGAAAATTACACGCTGTACTCATTCAATGACTGGTCGTCGCGTCTGCGTGAAAAAAAAAGGAGAAAAAGGTGAAAGACGACGACACGCAGCTCTCAGAGGTGTTCAAGTAACGCAAGTGTTTTGACGCTCATTTAATGACGTAGCATTTTCTTTTATTTCAAGGACTCTAAACTAGTTATTTCACAAGACTTTGGGAAAGCACCGTAAAAACACACTAAGTGATTACTTGTTGCTACTAATCTATTCGATATGTCCTTTGTCTTTCTTGGTCATTACAATATGCTTTATATGCAGCAATTCTATCTAAGGACCCCTTTTCTTTATAACTGGAATTTCTGTGGCTCACTTCCGAACCATCATGCATAGCGAGATATCGACAAGTCGATTAATTCCGCCTAGTCAAAGTACACATCACGCCATCCTTGGGTCGAAGCGAGACCCTTTCAAGAATATCACGTGACTGGCCAGGTACCAAAGAAAACTTGAACGTCTGAAGAAAGCGTGACAGCAAAACCTTGGCCTCGATCTGTTTAGTGGAAAAACACGAAGCGATGATCCATAATTTCTCAAAGGAGAAAAGAGTTCATGAAATATATCAACGAAATGAAGTGTTCTCTTGTTCAATATGACAGTAAAGAAAGAAAATCGTTCAATAAAATTAAATTACTCTCTACCTTTCCACTCTACAATTTAAAAAAGAAGATAATGTGGAAATTAAAGCCATTTTTCACCACCAACCCTTTTTTACGGTGGCCAATTTACAATAATTTCGACTTAGCTGATATTACCAAATTACCTTTTTTAAATACAAATCGGCTCGTTCTATCCAAGCTTACAAAATCCTTTGAAAATGCAAGCTTACAAAATCCTCTTGAAAATGGAAGCTTACAAAATCCTTTTAAAAATGCAAACTTACAAAATCCTTTAAAAATGAAACGTGCACGTGGACGTAAACGGGATTCTCCCATGGGGAGGGGGTCCTACCCAGGGCTCGACAATAACTTTTCGAGTTACTAGCCAAGTGACTAATGACAACTTAGATGTTACAACAATTTCAGTTTGTTTACTAGCCAAAGTGGCCAGTGGAAATCGAAAACCACTAGCCAAAACTGAATTTCTGGTAGTCTGTGGCTAGTTGGCTACCGTTAGTGTCGAGCCCTACTACCGAAAGTATCTTGCAAGCATTTAGAGGCGTGCCTGGTTATTTTATTAGTATGATAGAACGAAAAGGAGAGAGCATCACGAGCCAAACCCCCTTCCCCACCCCCCCTACTTCACCCCCCTACTTCACCAGATTTATATTTTGTAATCTCAATTTCAACAATTACAAACCTTCTGAATTATTACAAAGAAGAGAGAGAACATTTAAAAGGGGTTAATAAAAGGTAAAGTCTGTTTACTAGCCTAGTGGCCCATTAGGCTGGTGCTTAAACTCAGGTTTCTGTAGCATGAAGCGACTAGGAGTATTTCTACTCCCCCCAAGATGGGATGCCAGTCCATCGCAGGGTTACCCCCAGCATTAAATTGCCGGTACCCATTTATACACCTGGGTGAAGAGAGGCACTGTGAAAGTAAAGTGTCTTGCTTAATTAAGCACACAACACAATGTCCCGGCTGGGGACAGAACCCGGATCCACTAGATCCGGATTCGAGCGCAGTAACCATGAGGCCAGCGCGCCTCCACACAAAAGGGGTTAATATGGCAAGCTGATTATATGCCCTTTAACTTAAATTACATTTTTTTCATAACGAAGAAAAAAAACCGATAGAAATATAAGTGTAAGTCAAGAACAGGGAATAAAACATTAAGCAACAGCTAAATGAGTAGCACAAGGTCAAAGGAAGACCGTAATTGATACTGAGAAAAGCAAAACATGAAAAGTGCCCTTTTGCCCTACCTGTGCAAAGTTTTGTCCGATACAATTCCGGGGTCCAAGTGAAAACGGGAAGTAATTGTAATGAGATCTACACGCGGCAATAGAAAAACATTCTTTATACTTTAATTTGAAACCCTTTTTCACTTGAAACATATACAATTGTGTTGAATATCGGTGATAAGATTCCCGCGGATGAAATATTGACAAAGTTACTGGGGTCGTTGTACGAGGCGAAAATTAAACCAAGTAGTGGGCCTTGAGTATTCTCTATAGGAGCGTTGATTTAATGAAATAAGCGCTCTTCCACTGTTAGATTTTGGCCCCATTGACACTGTTCACAAAAACAACTGTGTAGACAAAAGATTCTGCTAAATTGAAGATAGTTTAGAACGTGCTATTGTTAAACAACGGCTAAACTTTGTTTAAGTAACCGGCCCTTAAGCTTTAAAGTCCTGTCGTAAGAAATTTCATTTGTCACACTCACTTTTCAGCGACAATAGTCCTTTTCAAAACTAGAACGATCACACAACACGAACTGTCACTCTCGCATTCTGGTAAATCATTTATTGTACGTGACAGTTATACACAATAAGAGAAATGCGGATAGGTTCTCGTTTCGTTTCACATGCGTATTCGCGTCAAAGGTCGCCGTAACATTTTCTATGGGCGAATATAATTGGCCAGCCCGTAAACAGTAGCGCTAAATACCTCTTCAGTTCTTCTTCATCGTCGAATCTGTAAGGATTGAATTCCTCTGGTTTGGACCAGTACTTGGTAGATCGGCTGCTGGCAAAGGTACTCAACTAGAAATTTAAAAGCAACATCTCATTCGTTTTAGGGAGAAAAAGAGGAAACAAGATCAAAAAACCTGGAGAAAAACTGATTGCACAATACAAATAGTCCAAGCCCCGGTTGTTCAAAGAGTGGAAAATGCTATCCACGGGATAATTCATTATCCAGTGGATAGTGTAGTACGTTTTGTTAACACTTATCCAGTGGATAGCAATTTATCCGTTGGACTGAGTGTTATTCGCCCTTTAAACAACTAGGCTTGTCTTTGACCATTTGACTGATAATATTTGACTTGGTGTTCTGAGCAGTTTTAATTCATACTGTCAATTGTGGAACGTATACACATCGATGGTTGAAAAAGCTTTCAAGATCCCATTCACTCTGCGCGAAGGCTGCGAAAATTACGAAAACTGAGATAAGGGCCGATTCTCGTCATCAGAAGGGGAAGGAGCAACAGAACTGTTTGAAAAAAAATTTTAATATTTGCGTTAACATACAGAAAACAATTGTTAAGTTGGACATACGTTAAAAACTTAAAAAAA